AATCCAATCTTCCAACTAAACACATCCAGCTGTGGGAACCTAATAACCAGCAAGCACCAGAAATTACCAAAGCCCAGAGTGTTTGAGGAAAGGTGGTAAGCTGGAGACAGGATGCCTGTGAGCATCCAACACACTCAGCACACCCAAGGCTTCAGTGGCTTTGGCAACATAATCTCACATCCCCAGGCCATGTGACTCTCTCCCCAGGCCATCTGTAAAATGAATGATTGGATGTTAATGCCTTACATGTTCAAGCAACAACAACAAATCAGTAAAATCAACAAGCTTGGGGGAGGGTGTACAATTGATACCAAAAAACACAAAAGATCTGAACAGAACTTCAAATGAATAACATACACAGAAGGGGAGCTGTCACTTACCCAAGGTATTTAGACTATTTAGACTAAGTATATGCCCTCAGGCTCAAGACAAAAGAAAACTTGAAACATACATTGAATTCTAATTAGTTGGCCTTTTTGAAGACAGGGATTAGTAGTTCTGAAAGGACATTCTGTACATTCCAGGATTGAGCAAATAAGTAAATACATTGTGGACAATGGGAACCAAGTTTCTCACTGTTAGAGAGTAATATAAATATCGAAAAGGGGAAGGGTGAAAAGTACCCGGGAATTCTTTGTACTATTTAGCAACACTTCTCTAACTATGAAATTATGTCCAAAAAAAAAAAAAAAAGAGAGAGAGAGAGAGAATGGTTGGACTATATTAGTGCTTCTTAAACTCCCTTATGATATTAAAAATCACCTGGGGCTTCTGATAAAAATTCAAAACTCCAGGACCACGCCCACCTCCAGCACTCTTGGTGAGTCTTCTACCTCTGTGCATCTGGGCCCTGAGCATGTGCATTTTACATCATCACACACATTTTTTAAAGGCTAGATTAAATTTTCTTTGAGGCTCGTGGTTCCATGCTCTGGAGGAGACAACATGTAAGCCAGTTTTAGAAACCCGTTTCTTAACACGGAGAGAATGTGTGTGACAACCATTTGCTGAAAGTTTATTACAGAGTTGAAGAATTCATACAAATACCAAGGGCCATAGGAAAACCCCTTGGGCAATCTCCCGGGAGGAACATTCAGGAGAAATTTCATAATTCTCTGAGTCATGCCGATGTCTTCTGGAGCTATACATTTCAGGAATGAGTGGCCTGATTTCTCTCCTTCCGATAAGACAAAGGCTTACCGGCCTTAGGGCCTTTGCACTTACAGCTACCTGGACCTGAAATACTCTCCCCCACGTGCTGGCAAAGTTGGCTCCTTTTCACCCATCAAGTCTCCTCAAATACCAGTTTATCAGAGTGCCCATCCTATCTCAGCTGCCCCACCCCACCCCTCCCTAGTCCCTCACCAGGCTTTTCTTTTCTTTTTTTATAAATGTATTTATTTATTTATTTTTGGCTGTGTTGGTTCTTTGTTGCTGCACGCGGGCTTTCTCTAGTTGCAGCCAGCGGGGGGGGCTACTCTTCGTTGCGGTGTGTGGGCTTCTCTTGTTGCGGAGCACAGGCTCTAGGTGTGCGGGCTTCAGTAGCTGTGGCTCACGGGCTTCAGTAGTTGTGGCTCGTGGGCTCTAGACCGCAGGCTCGGTAGTTGTGGCGCGTGAGCTTCGTTGCTCCACGGCACGTGGGATCTTCCCGGACCAGGACTCGAACCCGTGTCCCCTGCATTGGCAGGCGGATTCTTAGCCACTGCACCACTAGGGAAGTCCCAGGCTTATTTTCTAAGCACTTACCATTATCTGAATTTATCTATATCTCTTGTCCTACTGCCTGACGTAGAACATGAGCTCCATGAGGGAAGGATGGTTTGGGTTTTGTTCTCTTCTGTATCCCCAACTCCTAGGACGGTGTTTGTTCTATACATACCAAGCACTAAATAAATGTTCACTGAATGACTTAGCAAAACACACGTACAGGAATCTATTTCTCATGATGAATGAACATGTTTGCAGTGGGGTAGGTGAAATATAACCAAGTCAAGTGAGAAACGGAAGGACTTTCCTATAATAAATACATTTTATTTTATTTTTTCTTCCACACAGTTTAAGAATACCAGACATTAGTATAAGCTGGAAGAACATCTCTGAGTTTGGACATAGGTCTCTGCCTTTTCATCCATAATGGATTGTCGACTGGAAAATCAGAGGCTGGCATTCAACAATATGTTATAAAGTGTTGTTATACAGTGTTAATAGGTGTTTCATATAAAAAGGGTACCATGCCCACAGCAATTCTGAGACACAGCAGATCCAAAGGAAAGTTTTCTCCAATGCATCCGTAAACAGCATTCTTCCCCACCCTGCCTTCCTCAGAACACCTCCTGGGAGCTGAGTTCCTTCCACAAAAAACACTTTGAGAAAGATTGCAGCAGACCAAATATTTAAATCACTTTGTACTCAAAAGGCTTCTAAACATCCCACTTCTAATTCTAATCAACAATGACAAATTCATGTCCTTAGAAGAGGGAGAGCTCCTTTCTAAGAACTGAGCAAAGGAAAATGAAACTCTGGGGCAATTGACTAAATGGCCTCATTCAAACATATCTGAGTTTTATCACAACAAAAATGACTGGCAAATTTTACAGTAGTGTTTCTCAAGCAGGAGGAGGGGGAAGAAATACATCTCTTTAGGAATTCTCTCCCCCGTCGCTCCCCCGCTGCCTTTGGAGACAGCAGTGGGAATATGGTACATCTCTAAAGTGTATGTACATCTCTAAAGAGACATGAAAAAAATGCGAGAACTGCTACACTAAAAGACATCTTCCCAGCGAGGTTTCAACTGACCCGCTGCCAAACTTTTTAATTTCCGGAATGGCTTAGGCAAAACTATACTCACTTTAGACTTCATAATACTTAATGATAATGGATATATTTGAACCCATTCTCACTCAACATTAGAAGCTTCCAAATCAGTGTACTGCAAACTGTTATAAAATTTTAATTTGTAACACTGTCCAAAAGTATACAATGGGACTAAGTTTACCAAACGTATAAAAACATTATGAAACACCTGGTCTTATTTTGTTGATTTAACATTTCATTTTCATCATTAAGCATATGCTGAAAAAGCAACGTAACCAAAGATTAAATTAAATAATCTAAAAGTCCTTCAAATTAGTTACCTGTTATCTTTCAACTACTGCTGAGCTAAATGAAGAGGCTTATTTTACTCTCTATAAACAAGAGAATTTAAAAGCCTTCATGCCTTTGGCACCTACTAGAATGGAGTATTTAAACTTTGTACCTCTGTCCACCATAAGACTGAAGTTACAATAACATGAAATGGAAGCCCACAGACCCTGCTGGAGCTAAGATTCCACTAACAATGTCAGCCAAAAAAACAAATGTTGTCATGCAGCTGGCAATTAATGTACCAAAAATTTACCAGCCCGTATAATTTTATCAGTCTACCTTCCCCAGAGGAAGTAAACAGATAATAAAACTAATGAAATCATATTTCTTGACCACTCGCATCCGATATAAATTGTTACTTGTCCTCAGAAGATTGGACGATGATCTATTTATAAGGCCATTCGAGAGTCTGGGCCAGTAAACCATTAGAGGCAGTGTACTAAGATATGGGGGTGCTCCTGAGTCAGCAAAAGAGGATCCTGCATTGTGACGGATGGCCCCTTAAGTCATCAGACAAGTGCACAACAGGGGGTGATGGGCTTCTGTTAAAAACTGTTTTGTGTCAGCATTTCTGTGCTCTCTGAAAACATCATGAAACAGTGAACTTTAATTAGTAATGCAACAGATGAGAAAACACTCAGTGTTTTGTAATACTCCACAGAGGAGAAAGCAGGGGACACATTCTTAGGCGGTGAGTTGCTCAAAGTTAGACCAATCAAAACAAAGCTGACAGGCCCAGTACCTTCTGGAGTTTGTGACATCAGCATTTCTGCAAGTTTGGCCCGTGGCCGTCCTGACTCAGAATCACCTGGGGGACCTTCTCCAGTGTAGATCTTCTCCAGGAAACCAACATTTTAAACCAGTAAAGCAGCATCTCCTGATCTGCCTGGGGAATCTACATTTGTCACAAGCTCACCAAGTGTTTCCATCCCTTTGGCAAGGTCTTCAGCATCCTCTGCACATGAACACTAAACTCAGCAGCATATATGAAATGCTGAAGCAACATCAAATGTATAACCTCCCCAAATATCGTGATGTCATTGGCTTAAAAGGTGACAGACAAGCACAACCAATTGGGATTGACTCAGCCAATGCCCACTGGGTAACACATTTTACCTGTGCTGCGTAATACTTGGCAGCATCAAACTGGTGACAAGAAAACAGAGCAAAACAGAACACATAACACTTAGCCACAGGCTGTGGACTTGTAAGAAAATCCAAATCTATCATGACATGGGAACCTTGCATTGTGAAAAAGAATGTACTTGTAGGAAAAGAGGACTCTCTTTCTATTCATTCCCTTCACTAGGTGGGGAAAGGAAGACCACTCCCCAAACCAGGTTTCTTCATTCTGGAATTGCCTTCCCAGCCCCCAGGGCTCCCACAGACCCAACTTACTCTCTCTCAGGTTCCCCTACTGACCTTTCCAGCTCATTCTCTTCCCACTGTGGGAGCTCTTGCGAGAGGCTTTGTTACATGAAACTCATCAGATGAAGGATCCAACTATTTCATAGTAAAGCTACAAGGGAGGTATGCTTAATCCAATCGTTTAAAGAGGATTGGAGAACTCACTTTAAATAAATGAAAAACTAAATGAAATATTAATGATTTGCGTGAATGAGGACTTACTTGAACCCATGTTCCCCTTTTAAAATCACACATACGGAACCAATGCACATCTAGAGAAATGTCCCCATGTCAGTACCTTGATGACATGAACCCATTCAAAAATGCCAAGACACCAACCATTATAAATATTTTAGGCCACTGTAAACCGGTACCACGACACTGGCTTATGGTGGTTAGGAAGTTGTAGCTTAATGTTGACATTTGGCACAAAAAGCTTATGGTCTGAATTATGTTTCTTTTTTGTGTAATTCTGGCTCAGGAATCCGATACAGAGCAGCTGAGAAATAAATTATGTTGCTGAGGCTGAAGATGAGGCACAGAAGTATGGCTCCGGCTATCTGAGAGAACAACAGGGGCCTGGAGTGGGCCAGGAGCCATTCCTTCCTTAGAGTCTTGTCCAGAAGGATGGCTTCCATCTGCATGTGTGTGGCTAGGATCACACACACATGAAACAGCTGGTGACTATGACCTATAGCAAACACACAAAAGACCACCAAGATCAGCAAGAAGATAGGACTGGATTGATACATGCGATGGCATGTATGCTAAAAACACTATGTGGTGTGAAGGAAGCCAGATACAAGAGACCATATATTGTATGATTCCATTTATATCAAATGTCCAGAAAAGGGAAATCCACAGAGACAGAAAATAGAGTAGTGGTTGCTTCAGGCAGGGGTGGGAGTTGGGATGAACAGTACATGGGCACAGAGGATCTTACTGGGGTGATGAGAATGTTCTAAAACTCATATATGGTGATGGTTGTACAATGTGGTAAATTTACTAAAAAATCATTGAATCATATACTTGAAATTAGGGTATTATGTAATATATAATATATACTTTAAAAATTTATGTTTTAAATGTAATATGAGAAAAATAAGAGGGCCATCAGAGCAAACCAAATCCGTTTTTAAAACAACTTATCCGCCAGTCCTGTTTTTCACATGAAGAAATCCTGCCAAAGGTTACCTCTTGAGAGCTGTCACTGATCAGCTCAGATTCTGACTTCAATCCCAAAGGAGAAGCCAGCCAAGTTTTCTGTTGGCCTCTTATGAGGTGCTCCTCTCCCCACTGCTGGTTAATCCCAGACACAACCAGGGCCTCTTCCTCTCCGATAACTTACAGGACCCCAGTCACCATGTATGCATCCCCAGAGGGTGGGAGTCCAGTGGAGGGTGGTTGGAGTGAGCAGGGATGTGCTGACTTGGTGATTGGTGAGAAAAGGAGTCCATTGCCCAGGGCTGGGGATTGCTTTGGGGGACAGCCTGCAGAAACCGTGTTTCACGGGCTGAGTTGTATCTCCCCCTCCCAAATTCATATGTTGAAAGTCCCAACCCCCAGTACCTTAGAATGTGATCATATTTGGACATAAGGTCTTTAAGAGACAATTAAGTTAAAATGAGGTCACTGGCGTGGGACCCACTCTGATTGGTGTCCTTCTAAGAAGGGGAGATTAGGATGCAGACATGCACGTACACAGAGGAGAGACCATGTGAAGAGAAATGGAGATGGCCATGGGCAAGCCAAGGAGAGAGGACTTGGAAGAAACCAACCCTGCCGTCCGCTTGATCTCAGACTTCTAACCTCCAGAATTATGGGAAAATAAATTGCTGTTGTTTCAGCCACCCAGTCTGTGGTTCTTTGTTATGGCAGCCCTAGCTAATATGACACAAGAGTTAAAGATTCTCCTTCAGTTAAAAAAAAAAAAAAAAAAAAAGAATTCAGTGTTGTACCCCCAGGACTTAACCCAGAGTAAGTATTCAATAAATGTGTCCACAGAAGGGACCAGCCTGGCCATCTGCCCAACTGAACAAGAACAGAGTCAGGAATGAGGATGTAGGAGAGCTGAGTAGGTGGCCAATGAGTTCCTTAGGGCAGGGAGCTGCCAGCACTCCAGCCTGCATCCCCCAGGGAGGAAGTGTGCCTGGAGGGGCCACCCCTGCCTTACTCGAGCCATACTACTGGGCTGTATCCAATTTCCAAATCTGTGTGTGATGCAACGAAGTGGTTCCTTATCCAGCGAGAGCCGTGTACTCTAAGGACACAGGGCCAAGCAGAAGGAGGTGACCAGCTGTGCTCACCAACTGAGGCACAAACCTGTCTCTGGAGATGAAAAGGACAGGAGATAAAAAGACAGAAGAGCCACGAGCACTGAACAGATGTGAAATGTGCCTT